AAAGTATAGCTGAGACTGAGTATCCGTCTCATGAAGAGAATATTGTATTATTGTCTAGTTAGTTTAGTAGGTAGCAGGGCCCCGAGTCTCGGCTTTACACCCGCCGGACGTAACATAATTATCAAACAAATATACCGCAATGATTAACTTTAAGTGGTATATGCAAACGAAGTCTCAATGAGAGTGCTCCAAGTATCAAAATCAATTATTCGACATAAAAAAGATGACATCCGTAAGCAGTGGCCTGGGGCCTCGGGTGCCAAAACAAGATTATTGGAAATTTCAACCCAATAGCTTTAGATCTCATGGATGATGAAGGGATGATAAGGGCAGAGTATTGTATTGTTTTTAACCAGCGTTCACTAGCTTCGCGGAGGGCCTGTGAAAAATTCAAATTGCATACCATAACACTATCCAGCCTACAATCTGACATAATGACATTCAGGACTTGACCGCCCTCTTGATAATGACCAAATCAAGAAAGCTTTCCATGCATGTTAAATTCGGAAACATGGTTGTCCAGTCTCTTACATGTTTAGATCGGATCTGAAGGCATATCTGGCCTGACCGGACGGCTCGAAATTTTTACAACAGCTGAAATTGCCCTCTGCTGACCATCTAGGGCTAGGAGTGGCACGACAGCAACGCCAATCTAGGAATATGCAGCTAACAGGAAATCTGCCACGTTGCTCCTCAACCGACAGATTTACGCTGCTAAGCTGGTCAACGTTACATTCCAGCGGAGGGAAAGCTTCGAGACGATCTTACTCTTCAGAAAATGACCCAAGGACGCCAGCTCTATCACGCGGCCAAGGTCGGTACCTTTCAGCGGAGCTCTTCATTCGCCCTATACGGTTGGCTGCGTTCCCTCTACACTGCATTATTTTCCACTCAATCTGGTCAAGGATACTCCATATCTGACTACGGCTGTGGAACTTTCTCGAAAAAAATTTCCGTGAATGAGGTTAGGTGATAAAGACAGTCTCAAAAAAGAGACCTGCATCTACCATACCAGCAAGTGTGCCACTCGGTAGTTCAATAGACTAGCTCGAGCAGATTGAAGCTACGTTACGCAGACAGGGCGAGACCTTCAATATCCATCGGCCAAAAATCAAACATAACAACAATCAAATTTACTATTAATTTCTAAAGCTATTTAGATAGCATTAGCAGTCCTTTATAGTCATATACTCAGTAGGGACTTTAATAAAATCCTATTCTATACTTTACTATACGTTACGCAGCGACTAAAGTAAAGCTAATCCAAATACCTATAATTAATTGACCCGCTTGTGTCCCAGAAATGTAAGCTTTTCAGACAGGCAGGCTACCCTCATGCTTAGACTACACGACGAGCCCTAGTTTTTGAGGTCCTGCCGTCACAAATAGGCGTTGGAGGGAGTAATTTCATGTCTTGCGCCATTCGGCACATTCTCTCCAATTTCAACTGCCACCAGCCAGTCAAATTCATCTTCTTCCAGGATAGTACACGTGCGTAGTCGCTATGGTGACACTGCAGTCAATACAAATGATGCGCCGCAAGCCTATTTGATGCCACGCCTTATGTGAGCTGTTACTGCAGCTATTAACGATACACAGCACGATAACATATAAGCTGTAATGGCTTGATTTGGAAGATCCATCAGGCCTACCAGATTGGAATGCGCCGGCAATCACCAAACTACGATTGTAACCATACAACGCTACGATGAGATCTTTTGCAGTAATCGCATAATTCTCCCACGAAAACGTGGAGGTGAACGGCTCATTCAAAGGATGCACCATATACCATGTCTTATAATCATGCAGCCCGCCTGAGATGATCTTGAAATGGCTAACAAATTGGGCTCTTATGGCCTACACCGACCAGTCAAAATACTAAAAAGCTCGCTATTTTTTGATAATCAAACTGTTTGTTCAAACTTGGGATAAAGATATGGTCTGCGCTAGAGGCAACCCCCGAGCCTTCTGGTCAACAGACTTGATAATACGAACGATAAGGATGTGTCTGCCTCACTAGATCAAGGCTTTATCTTTCCTTGCTCGAGCGCACAGGCTTTAACCGGATCTAAGTCTTTAGAAATTACTCCCAAATATACCTTAGCAGCTGCCAGACCCGTAGCTTTTGTTGGTACAATAGGGATCACTTGGTTCAATGCCTCAAAAGTGCTAGAAACAAGTGGTGTAATTCTATCTATCCTCTCCTGTCTCCTCCCTAAAGAATTAATATCTTTTTATTTATTTATATTAACGTCGTGCCTGCGCACAACACAGTGCTTTAAAGCATCAGGGATATGATCTTGGCTGTGAACATCGGTCTTTGACCCTTAGGGGATAACGGGTATAGCCTAGGACCTAAATTAATAAACAAACAAACAGTGCTTTAAAGCCCCATGCCGGTTAGCTCAGCCTATAAAGGGCTACCCGACGCACCGGCATTCCCATAACAAAAACCTGATAAAGACCCCACTGCTCCCGGTCCGCATAGTCGCCAGATCAGTGAGACTCTTCTTAAATTGATATAAATTATATAGTTAAAAGCGGAACTTAAACTACATGCGGATATTCGTATTTAGATAGCGTTGATGTCTAAGTTATCAGGGCTGGCATTAATATCTAAGTTACAAAGCGAAGCCTAGCGCCTAGACTAAATCACGTGATACATTGACCAATGTTTATGGAAGTATGTGCCTAAGGCAAGCCCTTCTTGCAGCGGAAATAAACACCCAACGACGGGAATTCGCTGGATTCTAGGCTCTCCTGAAGGAGCCATAGCTTTTAGTAAATGGCTTCATGAAACGTGCTTTTTTGAAGCATGCAACAACAAGACTAACTAGTACCCCAAATTATATGCACTTGACCTGTATTTGCTAGAGCTAAATTCAGAAGACTTCTGGTCTAGGTGATGGATAACTTTCCTTTTCATATATATAACTATCTTCTCTACTGTATTAGAATACAAAAGTCTCAGCTTGAGAGTACTTTTGGCTTCTTTCGATAGTTCGGAGTGCATGGCAGGTAGGCCTTGGCCCATTTATAACATGTTGGGCTTATTGAAAGGTATCGACACGTTGGGTAGTTTATGTAGACTGAGCTGGCCAACACGAGACCTTAAGGTTGTTTTGTTTATTTTGTCCTAAGCTAAAGCTATGTTTTCCACATTGGGTCAAGGACAGGCGGAGCCGGCAGGGTTCCCTGTAATCTTTCCTACAGCCTAACTCGTTCCAACCTCGTGAATCGCTACCAAAAGTGCAGCTGATTAAACTGAAACGAAAAATCAAGAAAATCAAAACAACTCCGCCTTAAGGTTGTGTTGTGAGCTAGCACGACGTTAAATAATAATAATAAAAAAAACAAGCCCTTCAAACCTACGCCACACACCTGTGAACCGACAACTTTTCTAGCCGCTCAAGTGCCTTCCTGTTAAGTACACATGCATTCCCTGAATTTATAAATAGCTTGTCTGCTCAAAGTAATTCAATACATCATCTAATCAATTCCCAATATCCTCACAACCACGAAAAATTACCGCCCTCCAAAATCACTATCCAATGTCCTGGGAACGAAATAGCCCGGTAATTTACCGGAAATACTTGAGCTGAGTCCGTGTCGAGAGTTTTGAGTGCCATGATTTATTAGGCAATACTAATAATATTTTCGATATATGGAGCTTAAGATACTTCTAATCTCCAAACTGATTAAATGAGAGTCTATGGAGTAAGGTGTCCGAAGACTATCAATTTTTAGCCTTTCCAACCTAATTTCATTACTCTCTCCTCCCTCTGTTCGTCGTGGAGAGTTTAGAGTTTAGACACAAGGTAATGTGGAATAAAAGCTTTGCTGACTAGAGATTTCTTGTGTCAAACAAAGCCTCGTTTAAGCATATTGGCAGCCCTAATTTCAGCCATCTACTGGGCGAGAGATGACTAGCAAGCCTCGGACATAGTCATGTAGCTACACATTAATTTTTGAGCAGTATTTGCGGTTGACATATACTTTACAACTCCTTTATACTGTAAGGTCCGATAAGCTACCAATTTTACTAGATTTATAGGCCAGTCCAATAGAAATGTACTTTAAATTTTGTGTTTTGTAAGATTAACTGTCTGTAAGCTATATTTGACTCGCTGAATATTTGCTGAGCATGTTCTTTTTGTTCTTTTAATATTTTCTCCCTGGCACTCTTCGCCGACTTTGTTTCTCTTGATAGAACACTAGATGCTTCAAGGCGTATTTCTTGAGCAGTTACTATTCCATGATGTCTGTCCTGCGATGATAGCACTAGGGTCAATATTCATCTATTCAAGGCTTTCAGAATATTATGTGTGCTCGTGACCGCTCCGAAAATTCCGCCTTCGGCTTTGATGCTCTCTACAGCGACGTCATGTAGCCTTGTTTCGCTCGCCGCACTAGCATCTTCAACCAAGAGACAATCTAGCCCTTGATCATTCGCTTCCCGCATGGTGCTATGTACGCAGACGTCAGTAGTCACGCCACAGAGTACCAAGTTTCTGATGCCCCTGATATCAAGTAGAAGCTTAAAGTCTGTGTGCTGAAATGCGGAGCGTCCGGGCTTGTCTATAATCGGTTCGTTTGCCCGCGGATACAATTCTGGTATAATATCGTGGCCAGCCTCGCCGCGAATCAGTAAACGTCCAAGCGGGCCGCGATCACCAATGCCGAGACTAGACGCATTGTTACGACTACGAAGACGCTCACGCGTAGAAAGTGATGATAGATCACTACGATGTCCTTCACGCGTGTGATAGATGGGGAAGTTGTTAGATCTGAAGGCCTGTAAGAGTTTTTGCAGGCGTGGGATAATTTCCCGGACAGATGAGATGTCATAGCCTTGGTGATCGAGGTACCCATTTGGCGAACAAACTACCAAACCGTCAGTACGGGTGGTCTACATGGTTTCGTTATTTTAATGCAAATTAATCCCACAGGGGTAAGTTGTACAATGAGACTAAAGGATCGAAAGTACAAAAAGACTCGTATCAAAAAGAAAGTAGCTCGTAAGACAATAATGGTTGAGACTTGATAGCTGGTGAAAACCTGGGGTGAAGTGATGATTCCTTACAATCTTTCTGCATGTCAATCATAACAAGAGCCGTATTCTTTGAACCAAAGGTTGAGTCATGTGGCCATGAGTATGGTATGGCCTCGATAATCTTGGCAACTGAAATTTCAACATTAGCTGGGCCAGACGCCTTTGACTCTATCGAAGATGGCGTGATGTTTGCTGAAGAAGAATATTTGAAATGTGAGAGGCAACCGGCCCTCCTTTTTATTGGTCGAAGGGAAGATCAACCCGATAGTTCTCTCAAAACATTGCTCATCAAATTTCTTTCTCGATAAACAGGAAACATTGGAGGTCTATTGGAAATACAGTTATTCGATAGATACTGCTTTGATGAACAGTCTTTGGAGTAATAGGTATAACGCCTGGGAAGAGAACTTCCAAAATATGGATATTGTTTTTAATAGACTGAGCTTGGAAGCTATAATAAAGAGAATTTAAATTATCGAAAAGTGCCGATATGCGGATAAGTCTTCTTGTATTGTACCCCAGCGCTTTGAGTCATATGAAGGGACCATTTGTGCTCGCATGTTGTTTGAACAGGCTATTTTAGGAAATTCAAGGCCATCGAAGCTGTGTAATAGTACGGAAAGATAAAATATTCACATATTCTCTTAGATAGTATGGTAACAGAGGAATGGTTCGAGGCAGCAATGGGCCTGATTGTCTTTCCGGAAGGACCCAATAAGTCTTGATGTGAATGGAGCAGCAGTGTGCATGCTCCCGTTATTCCAAGTTACACATCTGAATCGGGTTGACAAGCACATCTCGAGATTTGCTAGTGTAGTAGATAATAGTATGGGAGAATTGATAACGTTGGATGGGCGTAATTCCATCGAAGCACCGTAAATCTCCGCAAACATGGCGTCGTGAAGTAACGGGAAGTTAATATTGATTGTGGCTCGAGCTGCCACATATAGATTGAGAGATTATTAAAGCTTTCAAGCCGTAGATAACGGGATAGAATGTTTTGTTGAATGTTTTCGGATAAGGGGCTTACACCAATAGAGCTTGAGCTACTAATGAAAAGTTGGCAATTTGTTTAGATGAGCACAAATGCAATGCATGTACCAGTCCCAACTTCCCAACAAATGTGCCTGATACTGCAAGATAAAGCCACAAAATGATTAATATTTTGAGTTTTTTGCCGAGATGCCGTGCAATACGGGCCTCAAAGTTTCGGAGGTCTAGGATCTCAGTCGGCTAGCGGCACAATGATTGACATTGGTAACGATGAACAATTATATGTCCTTCTAACCATCCTCATGGAAGGTAGCACTACATTTTGCGAGTGCTGCCCAACGCCATAGAAGCGGTCCGTGAGTGAGACTTTCTTCACTTTCCCTAGCTCCATTTGCTCTGTCTGTGCCAAACCCTAGATCACCTCCACCACCGCTTTTTCTTTCTTATTTAGAAAACATCCAAAATGACCCACTCCGAGATCATAGCGACAGCTGATAAGACAGAGGATAGGGTTTTAGAGCATCTTGGGTACCAGCCCGGTAAGTCTTAGCCATGCACACTGATATGAACAGCGCTGGTCTCAACCATTCGCTAATATTGACAGAGCTCAAGCGATCGTTTGGGCCTTGGGGCATCGTCGGGTTCTCTTTTAGCATTGTGACGTGGTATGTCGTGGTGCGACGGCTCGTTGGGATTGAGCCAAAGACATTCTAGATATCTGGGACGGCTGACGGGAGAACACAGTTGGTCTGCGCTTGGTGGGGTCCTGGTGACGGGTGTAAATGCTGGAGGTCCACCGGTCAGGCCCCATTCCATGGAAAAATACCATCAACTCACCGGCACACACAGGTTATGATATGGGGATGGCTGGGAGTTAGTCTTGCGTCGCTGTGTGTAGCATACTCCATGGCAGAAATGTGCTCTGAATATCCTGTAGCAGGCGGCCAATACTCTTGGGTTTATCTGCTGGCCCCTAAAAGTGTTCGACGGCAGCTCTCCTACTTGACGGGCTGGTTCATGGTCATTGGTATGTTCTTCAAGGACTGGAGCACGTATCCGAATTTAGCTTCGTCTACTCCCGAATTACTACCATCATGCTCATTTGTCGCGGCAGGTATCCTCGCTATGGGCGCAACCAATTCATTCATCGGAGCGGTTAGTGTTAATTAAAAATCCTTTTCTCTACGTGCTCGAGTTCCACGCGAAGGAAAGACACCAAATCACCTTCTCCGACAGTCATGGTTCCCGTAGCTAAAACTCGCGATAGAATTTTATCCTCGGCCAGGCCAATTTACTGAACCCAAATTATACAATCCAACGATGGCACACGGTACTCTTAGCCTATCTCCTCACCATAAGTGCAACATTTACCAATCTCTGGGGTGCAGCCATACTTGATCGAGCATCAAAAGGTCTCCTGGTTTTCAATATGGTGGCGTTTGTCGCTACAATCGTTACCATTTTGGCTTGGAACACAGACAAGCAGCCGGCATCCTTCGTATTTCAAGACTTTCAGAATTCCACCGGCTTCGGCACGGCTATGGCAGGAATTATCGGGATACTACAGCCGGCCTTCGGTATGTGCTGCTGTGAGTACTATCCCTTTCCACGAAGCCGGACTTGGGCGAACGCGATGGTTGCACGAGAACCATCAGCTGACGCTGGACAACTCTAGATGATGCGCCGGCCCATATGTGTGAAGAGTTGAAGGATTCCAGCATACAGGCGCCCCGCGCCATGGTGCTTTCTGTCTACGTGGGAGCCGTAACGGGTTTTATATTCTTGATTTCCGTCTGCTTCTGCATTGGAGACATCAATGCCATTGCTCAAACTTCTACTTTGGTTCCACTCATTCAAATTTACTTTGATTCTACAAAAAGTACCGTTGCAGCATGCACACTCGCCTCCATGATCTCCATTATCAATCTTGGAGCCGCCAATGCTTTGCTAGCCGAAGGGGCTCGATGTCTCTACGCGCTCGCCCGAGACGCTGGCTTACCCTTTTCCTCACAAATCAGCATAATTGAGCAGAAACATCAAACCCCTATCGTTGCCATTCTTCTGGGAACGATTGTCCAAATGCTCTTCAACAGCATCTACTTTGGTACTGTGACCGGATTTAACACTGTCATTGCCATAGCTACCCAGGGATTCTACCTATCGTATGCGATGCCCCTACTTGTGCGCATATTGGCTTTCTTCCAGGGTACTCATCGAAAGTTTACAGGGCCCTGGGCTATGAAACCATCTGTGTCACTAGCCGTAAATATCGTTGGCTTGACTTACCTACTTTTTGCATGCATTTCATTCAATTTTCCATCAAGGTATCCCGTATCGGTTTCCAACATGAATTATGTTCCAGCTGCAATTGGAGTCATTTTATTCATAGCTCTCATGAACTGGCAAATCACGGGAAAAAAGCAATTCACAGGCCCGAGATTAAAAGGAATCGATGAAGGTCTTTTGATTTTAGGCGGTGAATCGGGTAGTTGCAATCAAGAAAAAACCAACCAATCTATCGGCACTCAGGCGTGAAAGCTTGAATTTCAAATCTTAGAGTGTCCTGTATTGATCACTACCATTTTGAGTATCACATGTTCAACAGCTACCGAAGCGATTATCCATTATACCAAACTTGTCGCTCTCTTGTGTTAAAATTGACTCAATTGCTTGGGTTGATAAATATCTAGTCATTGATTAATTTTGTTAAAGTTTTTAGATACCCTCCCCAATTTTGAATAGTGGGCAGATTTCTCAGCACTGTATTTCACAGATGGATTAACAATTAACACTTGATCCTTTCCTCTTGATTTTTTCACCGTAGACTCCGTCAGCTATACCATCCACCCGGTTATAACCCGTAAAATTGTAGCGATAAAAACTCCGTATATTGCCGACGCCATATTTTTACATAATTCATGATTCATTTAAAAGCTTTTTAGTTTTCTTGGCGGTTCCTATGTGAGTGTTGTGTACCTGAAATAATCAGCAGGTTGTATGGGATGAATTAGGTATGTTCTAGTTTACCTTGGTAGCAAATTTTAAGCTGGTCAGAGTTTCACTGACATGCGCCTCCAGTGGACTTGTCATTACAAACATAAGCGTTTTAGAATTACCCCCCAACGAGTACTGCAGCAGGTAGGTAAGTTTAGAATTGCGATACGGAATGTGCGTTCCTTCTTTCCCTTGGCCTAGCGCTCCTATAACATCGCTTAGACAGCTCAAACTTTTGTTGATACTTTGCGTCTCCTTCTTTCTTTCACCTTCAGCACCAGATTGTTTCAACCTCTCAGAGCCAGCTAGATCAACTAAGTTGAGAGTACCTTCACAGCTTTCGCCTGTAGTTGAATTGTGCCCCACTAACTTCAATATAAAAACTGAGTGAGACCTTGAGGAACGTTCATTAGATTTAGTAGCTGCAACGCTGCGGTTTCCAGCGGCATCTTTCAAGATAGATTCCACTGAGTCTGGAGAGTCAAGTTTCACAGTGTTTAGGCCAGTCACTGTTGTCTGCTTTTTTTGGTCGTCATGCCTTATCTCATGTTTCTTTTTGTCGTGTTCTTTGTGATTCCCTAGGAGGTCGTGAATTTCTTCGTTATAAACTTCAATAAAGTTTCCTTCTATCTTGTATGTCCATCCTTTTTCTCGCAATTCCGTAGCTGTTTTATAAATCTGTTGTGCAGCTCGGGGTATCATTCCGTCGGGTGAAGACATGGTGTGGGTCTTCCCAGACCCCGTTTGACCGTAACAGAATATGCAAACGTTGTACCCATCCAGAGCACTTTGTACTAGTTGTGATATTTCTTCGAATATCTCATGATTCTGGCTGTTGGGTCCAAAGACTCTATCAAATGTGAATGAATGAATTTTCTTTGAGATGGTTCCCAGGCTCGTCTTCTCTTCCTTTCCAGCAAGCTCAAGCTCCCTTGAATGTTTATCTTCATCAGGAATCCTGAGACAGGCCGCCTCACCCTCATTGTTGTTAAGGACTGGCCTTACCCTGCACATCACGCGAATGTTTCCCTTAAGCTCTTGCACTTGATTGAATAAAAAACGCCGTAAACTTTCCTCTTTAATTAGCTTTCTCTGGGATTCTTTCGCAGACTCAATAGCCTCTTCGAGCCGCGATTCCATATCAGCAAAGCTATCGGACTGGGCTTTGCTACCAGATTCAAGAAACAAAATGCGAGAGCGAAGGCTAGTTAGAGTGTGCTCCATGCTGTGAACGGTAGTGGCATTTTCTAGGTTGGTTTTCCGAATAGCTTCTTTCAGGGCGTCCATCTCATTGAGTGCGTTGGTTTTGAGAGTTTGTTCACGTTCGAGGTCTCCTTTTATTTTGTCCAATTCAGATTTTAGATCCATTATTTCACGGTCTTTATGTTGCAATGTTAGATCAAGGTTGTTGCTTTCAGATGTAAGTTTCCGTTCCATCAACTGTATCTCAGCAAGGTTTTTAGCTTTCTCTTCTTCCAAAAGCGCATTATTCCGTCGTTCAATTTCTCGAATACTTTCCTCTTGTTCCAAAAGTTTCTTTCGCTCACTTTCCCGAAGTTGATCTCGATGCAGACGTGAAAGGCTATCAATTTCTTCACTATTTTCACGCCTAATCTTTTCGACCTCGTTACGATTTTCCCATCTCAGATTTTCCATTTCGATCCTCTGGGATCTTATCTGATCATCGAGAGACTTTGTCATATCCGATAAACTCTGCTGCGAAATACCATATTTGTGCCTCATAGAGTCTAGCTCACTCTGCAGTGACTGGTTAGTTAAGCTAAGCTGGCATCGAAGGGACTCAAGCTCGGCATCTTGTAGGTCGCGTTAGTGCATTGGGTGCCTTAAGGATTTGTAGACTTGACATACTTCTTGTCTTCAGTAAAGCCACAGATTCCTCGAGGCCCTTCTTGTCCAAGCTTGCGCCCTTCATTGTTTCCCGAATCTCTATAAACTGGGCCTCCATAGTCTGAAGGCGACCTTGAACATCCCATTCTATGTAAACCCTGATGTTAGTACTATTTTCAAATAATTTATGTCTGTGAGGAGTTTCTACTTTTAGGGAACTTTTAAGCCCTAGTCATCGTCCTTACAACTTTGAAGGGGGCCCAGTTCAAGTGCCAAGTAAATATTGATATCATTGAGTTAGGGCATTATGACTGGGAAGCGGCTTTACTACTTAGGATATATTCCCGTAGTATAGTGCTAGTTGAATAAATTTGAAGTCATGTTATTATGGGTGGTGTCGAAGCTAAGCTTACTTAATACTCAATCTGATAGCCTAGGGGGCAAAGGAGCTCAAGTTGATGTAATGTTTCGGGTTGAGGGCAAAAGAACAAACTTTGCGATTATTCGCTCTGAGGTAAAAGGGATGAGGGCTTATTGAAAAAGTGGAGTGTTCGGTCAAATTCTCAGACCGAATTTTAGGAAATTTGGAAATAGTGTTTAGATACAAAGAAAATTTCGTACCCTCTCGCGCGCATTTTGATTGTTCATCGGGTTCATGATTCCCAGCTGAGGTGGCAGGTCGAGGTCTCGGGAAGTTTACTGTAGGTCGAGTTGAGGTCGATTGACTGAGCTTTTTTGACATATGTGATTTGGCGTATAAAGACACAGGTCGGCTCTCTGGGCCGACGCTGCACGAGAATCCACTATTTTTAGAGTTTCGAGGAGGCTCCGATGCCAGGCGTGAGAAGTTGGAAAGGGACATATTACCCCTATTTGTATTGGATTTCTATGTCATGTGTTAGCGAGTCTTCAAATCATGGCTTTTCATAACGTTGAATCATGTAAGACATTTTTTATATCAAGATTAAATGATATGCATGATAGGCTGGCGTAATAGCTTTCTTGAAAATATGTTGATAATATAATATACATAACATTTTATTTGAAGTAAATGCAGTATTAGCAGAGAGTTGAAAAGTATTCGTACAGATCTGCCTTGAGGAATCCCCTTCAGTGGCTGCCTAGCACTGCTTGGCATCATTATTGCGTTGGACCTAGAGTCGGCTAGTCTTGATAGAAGTGTTTTCCTCTTCGCATCTGGTTCTCCGAATGGTGTAATTTTGTGCTTTAAATTTGTAGAGGGCGCGTAACATAACTTGATATGCGCGTTTTTTTGGGAATCAGTAACATCGGACAAGATTCTTTCCGGGGAAATTGCCTTAGTTACAGGCTGCGGCAGTTGTGATCGGTGCTAAATAAAACAGTCAGTATTAGGAGGTGGTAAGAATATGAGGGATCATACTGAATTGTCCTCAATATCCATAGTGTGATGAGCAAGACCACCAACTTTCTCTCGGGATTTAATCAATCATTCGAACCTGTCGTTCAGCAAGAGAATTTGAAACCAACCAAAAAGCGCTTCAGTGATACGATTATGCTGTTGCGTCCCATGGGTGATTCTATTGACTAGCCGTTTAACCGCAGTGGTAATATTCTCCTAGGCAACCAACTCGCTTATTAGTCATGATCGAGAATAGAACTCAAACTCAACCCCCCATCAAGTAAATAAAGTGATTAAGAATCGTCCCAAATTAAGGTACCTGGATATACCTTCAGAAATCTATTTCAAGCAGGATGACTTAATTTAGCATTTGGAACACTCCCTCTCCGACATCAATTGCATATACCATTTGAGCCGATCTCCCTAGTAGATTCTGGACGCCTGGACACATACGCCATTGGAGACAGGAGAAAGCTGCTTCGAATCTAGTCAGACCCACGTACCACATTCTCTCATAGTAATACCTTTGTTTTGCGACAGATTTTAATTGCGTATGTAGCTATCTAGCTATGACACAATATCAAAGAAAAGTACAGAAAAGATGACTCAATTTACAAGAGGAGCACTCATGCCTCGGATTTCATTTGCAAGTACCACTGCGAAGTTATGGTGGCTTTTTCTTCACCCCAAGTCAACCCTCATCCGTGAGTACCCACCCAGGGGAACGTCTCAAAAACCCTGAGTTATCCAGACATGCCTCCGTCATCCATCAACTTTTCTCCGCACGAAATGTAATCTGAGGTGTCTCTTTCCCAAGTGGAGTAGGTGCCCAGGCTACTCAAACCATACCAGAGAACACCACCAGGAGGCGGACCACAACACCTTCCATCGTTTGCTTGTTTTTATAGTGTGAGCTGCACTCTCGCAATCGAAGTCTTGGCGCGCACAAAGCCCAATTCGTAAAACTCCTTGCCAAAATTCAGAATTTCAAGCCCGTCGAGGTTATATCCCTCTTCTGCATCATCTTGTGAACTTGTCCTGATCCCTCTCACGTCCATCCCAAAGAGCTATCTCCCAGATTTGTGCTCCACGCTTTGCTTCCTCAGTCGGGTATAAATATCGGCGTGAGCGTGTATCTGGCGACCAGCTGAGGCCAGAGAAAGTTGACGAGAGGTAAGATCATTGGGATGAGGATTTACTATGTCGTACTTGTAGACTTGATGAGGCTTCGATAGGATTCGAACTCGTTGGGTGTGAAAAATTGACGTGGCGCAGTAATTTGAATTTTTGCCTCGTGGGCCAACTTCTTTGATATTGCGAAATTTGACTGAACTTGGCTCTGGGAGAATATTTCACTCCCAGGTTCGTAGAGGATACCGCGTACAGGTGTTCAGTCTTGCCCTCCAATCGATCCTGTGTTCTCTTGCGAGAAGGATAAAGCTATCGAGATCGTCTTGAGCTGCGGAGATAGCATCCGCCGCGATGTCTCCAATTCTGACATTAGCTAGATCATCAGCAGAAATAGGTTCGACATTGACGAGGAGTCGTTGATTTTAAATATGCTAAAGATTGCTTTCGACTTTGATTCGGATGCAATTCTTCTTGGCTATTACAGATATTTAGACCTTACTGATCGATTACACTGGCGCCACTGAGAGGTGAAGAATTTATCTTTATCGGCTGTTGTTTTAATGAATCGATGGATATTTTCCGATTGGGATGGGCTGGAATGTCGTCAAAACTAATTATTTTTAAATTTTCAGGGCGCTAAGTTGTTAGTGTATCATACTTTTATTCTCGGGATATTCAGAGCGCCCAAAGTTAGAATCAAAGATTGACTGAGCTCAAAGGTTCACAATCATTGTAAGTTTGTTGAATAATGCCGTTGGTGTCTAGGACTATCTACAACATTGTGTATGACTTGAGATTCACCTTGTACGTCGCTCCAACCTTTTCTCACTAAAAGAGGTAACTTATATTTGGCCCACCATGAACATCCATTGAGCTAAATATTTACCTTTGGAATTCAACTACCCTCCCAATCGAATCCTATACCCGAAAAGCAGATAAAATAATTAAATAACGGCTGCAATCGAAATTACGTGCTCGGGAAAAAATCTCATGAAGCTTACAGCCTAAATCAGACGAGGCCTAGACACCGCAGCTTTGCCAGGTGCACATATCCATCTATATCTGCCTTTTTTGCAACATTGGAAGCGGCATTGATCAACTCCACCATCACCTTATCGGGTGCTATGTACACTCTGAGAACTCATCTGAAAACCAATCTGATAGCTTTTTCTCCATGAACAAGGATTTGTGATGAGAAGAGCTTCGACCCTAACATCTGATCTGATCGTGGTTAGCTTCATGATAATGATGATAGGGGAATGTGGTGAGAGATAAAGACGATGCAGACTGAAATAATTGTTGGAAACCCTCATCGATGCTAGGGCGAAGATATAACTCAAACTTGGCTCTGCAGATTACACTGTGAGGGCTGGAGTCTCATTGGAGACACAGCTGACAGGTGTCGAGTTTCGTCCCCCCCCTATTTTGGTGGGTACTCACGGATGAGGTTTGACTGTTCGTGCGAGTAAACATATCTTACAGTGGTTTTTGGGGATTGTTTCTAGAGCATGAGTGCCTCTAACATCAAAAGGGACATTCAAAATGTATAAATACGACAGAATACATGTCAAATATTAGGGCATGACCCTCAGGATCAACTGGCATATAATTGTAATATTCAAATTAAAAATTACCTATAAATTAAAGAGCTATTTAGACAGATCTTTAAGTAGTCTTTCATAGTCTAGGACTCGGTAGAGACTTAAATTTAAATCAATTAATTAACATGTCAGATAGATAGCTGAAAATACTCAAATGATACATACATTAAAAAAAGTCATCATGTCCCCCTTGGGATGGGGCAATAGCGTTCGCTTTCGCCTAGTAGACAATAAGAATAAATAAATACAACGCAGCAAATCTTTATACAGATGGAAATACGGGAAGAACTACAATGACCTCTAGAGGAACACCTATCAGTTTCCATAAAAATCTTAACAGGGCCCAAAGTAGCATAGCCATACAGTTAAGAAGTGAGCACATTGGGTTCAATTCTTACCTGCACAGAAGACATGTTCCCGGAGTAGACAGCCCACGATGCCAATGAGGATATCCGTCCCAGAACGTCAAGCACATGATCATGGCCTGTCCCGACTGGGCTACAGGGAGAGGGGAGATTCTGAGAAGGGCAGAGAATCGGTCATTCGAAGCGATGATGAATAACCCGAAAAATATGGCTAGAATTACAAAGTGGATACAAAAGGATGGAAGGCTAGAGCAGTTTCGACTGACGCTTGAAGTCGAAGCCATAACGAGTGAGAGAGAGGGCAATAGGGGGGATTGATCTCCTGCCCTAAATAAGGGAGTGGACGGTATCCGTACTGGATATAACAGCATTAGTGCACTTCTTGAAGGTAACACAACTTTAAAAGTGTATATAAATTGAAAAGTTGAGGGGTTTTACCAAATGGGTTTCCTCCTATAAAAATATTAGAGTTCTTAGACACCTGTATGGGCCTTAAGGCGCCAAATCGGGCTAATTGAAATCAAATTCAAATAAATAAGTAAATAAATACAATTAAAATAAGGTGGCTGTAGTCATGAGCCACTTGGCGGGATGACGTTTCAACCCAGCGGGAGCAGTGGCCGGCGATTACGCATTTGTGGACTTAGTCTTTCGGCCTAACAATCCCGTAAATTAGATTGTGATGTCAATTTTTAGATTCAAGTCATCAGATGGAAAAATTTTCTCAATTCCGCGATCGAGGTAGATCTATCTGATATCTGTGATCTCTATGCATCTACTGACAAAATGAAAAGGCTCTGGAATAGCTCCATTCTTTCCTCTCACATCTAACACGTCCAGTATATATGTCCTCCTCTACAGCTGCCTCTTTCTTCTAAGGCTACCCTTCTTCATTATTTCAACGACTATATATTTTCTTTTTCTTCAATGGTTGCCATTAGGTCCTTTATTCAGGAAGATTCTACTCTGGATTATACTGGGAATACCTGGTATATGGTGGATGGATTTGCAGATCGATGGAGTGAAGAAAGGTTCGTTGGCTAAGAAGCATGTTGGGAGAGTACCAGGACCTTCTGACATCGTCGCCTCCTCTTTCGCATCTCCTATTGATGCAGTGTACTTGGCTGCGATTTTTGATCCTATATTCACAATTTCATATCCTCATACGCACCAGATAAAAGTTATCTCTACCTTTGGAGCGATATTTCGAGCCTTTTCTACACCAGAGGAACATCCGGCGAAAAATTCAAAATTGACAGACATCGGTACCTTGATTGCAAATAATAACCGGAGGGTGATTGTAGTTTTTCCTGAGTGTACCACGACCAATGGAAAGGGTATATTGCCATGTAGTCCAAGCCTCCTCGCGTCCCCTGAAACATCAAAGATATTTCCGCTCCATCTACGATATGCTCCGTCTGATATTACAACTCCTATTCCTGGTCAATACATCTCATTTCTCTGGAACTTACTCTCGAGACCCACACATAGCATTCGGGTGCGCATCGCTGCGGCCATAGAAAATAGGTTGGATTCTTCATCCTGGAACCCGCCATATGTAACTAACCATAATAATAGGAATAATAACGATACATCCAAGTTGAATCAAATTTTATCTCCTGTTCTATCTAATGACCAACAATTGAAATTAGACAGCAATCAAAAAGATCTCCTCGCTCGTGTCGGAGAATCCCTAGCTCGTCTAGGAATGGTGAAACGAGTTGGACTTACGGTCACAGACAAACTGGTCTTTATAAAGGCATGGAAACAGAAGCAAGGAACAATCTAGCCGAGTACGTAGGGTAATTTTATGGTCGACGTGGAATACTGGATACCTACAGGCTCACAACAAGGTTATGACTACATGGCCTGACGGCGACAAGGCCATAAAAATATCTTATGCGACAAAGAGGAGAGAATCTTAATACTCTTGGATTCTATAATATTAACCTATGAGTTTAGATAGAAATAAGTAATATCTTAAATATCTGGCTAAAGCCCATATTTAGAAGGAATGATACATTTAAGCTATTCTCAAGGACCTAATTCTGAAAGCATATCAGGTTTTTTAGTCACCAAATTACAAGAAGGATAACTTCAAAATAATTTGCTCTTTAAGCTCATTGCCCTTACCTTCGCCGGTTCCAATCATAGTTTGACAAAATCTCTATTTATAGGAGAGTCTACATTATTCATCACTGTATCTACTGATTCAACTAATCACCAATTTGAGGACTTTCCATAAATACTCTCCTCTGTTAACAGCCCATTTCCAAATCACTTGATGGTGGCTTTAGGGTAAAGATTTTCGATTAGGTTGTTTTCCTTTTATTATACTAGAATATTCTTACACGTCACTACACAAATCAGTGCACCACAATACCTATGCAATTGATGGGATAGAACATAGTAAAATGGGATATGATGGAGTAGAATATAATGGCGGAGGGCAAGACTGAACACCTGTACGCAGTATCCTCTGCGAACCTGGGAGTGAAGCATTCTCCCAGAGCTAAGTTCAGTCAAATTTCGCAATACCGAACAAGTTGGCCCACGAGGCAAAAATTCAAATTACTGCGCCACGTCAATTTTTCACACCCAACGAGTTCGAATCCTATCGAAGCCTCATCAAGTCTACAAGTACGACCTAGTAAATCCTCATCCCAATGATCTTACCTCTCGTCAACTTTCTCTGGCCTCAGCTGGTCGCCAGATACACGCCCACGATGATATTTACACCCGACGGAGGAAGCAAAGCGTGGCGCACTAATCTGGAAGGTAGTTCTTTGGGATAGACGTGAGAGGAATCAGGACAAGTTGATAAAATGATGCAAAGGAAAGATGTAACTTCGATGGGCGTGAATTTTGGAATTTTGGCAAGAGTTTTACGAATTGATCTTTATGCGCGTCAAGACTTCGGTTGCATGAGTGCAGCTGACACTATAAACACAAGCAAACAATGGAAGGTTGTTATGAATGATGAGCAGTGGAGATATTCTTGGGATGGACTTAGAGTCAGTTATGATATAATGTATGAGAACTGAGATGTTGACTTTAGAAGGGATTATTATTCGCTAAAGTATGATGGCTAAATGATGTGATCAATTTTGGACACTTTTGGGGCAGTGCCTGACCAATTGTGTAAATACATGACAAGCTGGTCCGTGCACTGCTATCACTTCTCAACATCATGATCCTCAACCGATCTCTTCAACCACTACGTAGCTTACCTCAATTGTGTAGGCACAGCGACTATGTTGATTCATGACCTAGACCATGCACGTCTCTGCGTTGTGTTAGCATGGACTAGGATTATAAAAAAGGTGCCGTAGTCCGCATCCTGGTGATGTTCTCCGGTATAGTTTGAGTATCATGGGCACCTACTCCACTTGGGAAGGGGACACTAAGACCATATTTCGCGTGGATAAAAATCAGTGGATGATGGAGGCATGTCTGGGTAATTCAGAGTTTTTGAGACATTTCCCCGGGTGGGTATGCACGGATGAGGGTTGACTTGGGGTGTAGAGAAAGCCACCATAACTTCGCAGTGGTACCTGCGAATGAAATCCGAGGCATGAGTGCTCCTCTTGTAAATGAAGTCATCTTTTCTGTACTTTTCTTTAATATTGTGTCATAGCTCTATAGCTGAATTCCATTTTTTTTTTAAATCATTTTATTGTATTCAACTATATAGCTATGAAACATGAACGGTGCTGTGTGTACATTTTGTATGACTCTTTTGAAGTTAGAGACACTCATAATCTAGATTTCATTTGCAAATACCACCAAGAGGTATGCTTTCTTGCACAAACAGTCGACCCTCTTCCGTAAGTACCCACCGAAGAGGCGTCTCAATACTTTTGGTTATCCAAGCATGCCTTCGTCATCCATGCATACCAGCGCCGCGAGAAATGTGGTTGTGTTTTGCTGGATTTTAACCAGCGATCTACTGTCTCAAGTGGGATATGTGTCCAAGCTACCAAGAATCTACTTGGCAGACCGGCCAAGACAATGTACCACCGCACCATCCAACCATGGCGGTTTTTATAGTGTCAGCTGCACTCTCGCAAGCGAAGTCTTGGCGCGCAAAAGGCTCAATTTGTAAAACTCTTGCCAATATTTAGAATCTCACGCCCTTCGAGGTTATATCCGTCCTTCGCATTATCTTGCTAACTTGTCCTGATCCCTCTCACGTCTATCCCAAAGAACAGTTTCCCAGATTTGTGCGCCACGCTTTGCTTCCTCCGTCGGGTGTAAATAGCATCGTGGGCGTATCTGGCGACCAGCTGAGGCCAGAGAAAGTTGACGAGAGGTATGATCATTGGGATGAGGATTTACTAGGTCGTACTTGTAGAATTAATAAGGCTTAGGTAGGAATCGATTTCGTTGGGAGCGAAAGATTGAGATGGTGGAGTATTTTGTATCATTGCCTCGTGGGCCAACTTGTTCGGTATTGCGAAATTTGACTGAACTTAGCTCTGGGAGAATGCTTCACTCCCAGGTTCGCAGAGGATACTGCGTACAGGTGTTCAGTCTTGCCCTCCTTGACGGACAACGTTCACTTCTATTACTCCAGATACCTCCAGAACTTTAACACACACTTCACCCATGTGTCAAATATGTCAATTCCAACCATCCAGAAAACTTTACTTTGACGCTCCACAGCACAATTCATGTCCAGAATCGGCCACCACGTAGCTAAGCACATGAATACGCTTCAAAAAGGTAGCTATGTCTTCGGGTTTAGTCCTGGCCTCGGTAGGAGAGCCCGGCCCCCAAAAATTATCAAGACTTTTCCCTGTAGCTACACGCTCGTTGATAGCCATAGTTTTGTTAGATATGGGGGGAGATATTGACGGCAAAATAGCTGCTTTTAATATGTACTCGGGTGAAGGCTTGTGAGGGTATGCCGCTAGACAGAATCCATGAAGAAAGCATGAGAGGAATTGCATTACTCTAGCCATAGACTATACCAGCTCATAGGCACAACGCACCTGCATATCCTGGTAAAGTCTTAGTCTTAACAGGACCCTAAAAATATATCAAATTACTAATCATTTATGTTATATTAACTAGGCTATGGGAGCAGGACGATGGATACTCTTTGGGAAGTTATGCTCACAGTAGGTATCTATGGTCGCTGTCGCGTGTGTTCTCGTGATATGTAAGACTTGACTCTATATTCTCGTATAAAGGAAACTTAGTTACAAAGGATTGGACGGAGGTTGAGACCTCCTTATATCTTGCTCCAGACTTACTGTGTTGTTCACAGCCTATTGCTAGAACATTCTCTTATGATATCATTTCTCTCCTACGAGAAATGACCAGCTCGTTCTCTCTCAGTCCATCAGTCTCTCGCTGATTCCGTTATCACTATTCCATCTAGTTCTAGTTTGGTCCAGTATACCCACACATGCATCACGCACTAATCACCCCACGCTTTAGTTCCACAGTCACGTGCATATGCTATGACGCGACCTAAAGCATGTACCATGGTAAGTTGCATGGATAACACAGCAATTTATGATAGTTGGATATCCGAACACAAGTTAAGTTATATTAAAAATGGCATTATCCAGGCCGCCGCTTGGTTCGGTGTGTTCGCATAGACACTCCGGCTCCTCTTGTTTATTTGAAATAGACCCTGTTGGTTCTACAGGGTGATATCACTTGTACACAGATAGCGTATACTGTAGAGTTTGGTGGAATAGACATTATTTATTAAGGAAATAATGACCCCTCAGTCATTGAGGTTGCAGAGCGCATTAATCCAAGTAACTACCAATGTGAAACTAAGTACAGAATTTGTAGTCACGCGTGTAACAACAATGTGGCCTACGTGATAGCCCAAATTACTATAAATTAGGGGGACTATTCTCAACACCTGTCAGTGGTGTCCCCTACGAACCTCCAGCTCTCACTGTAGAGTCTGCAGTGCCGATATTGAGTAAAACCTTTGACCTCCCTTCGACGAGGATTCCCAATCGCTTCCGCGGTCTGTATCGTCTTCATCTCTCAACACCTTTCCATAATACCATTATCATGAAGCCAAACACGATCAGATCAGATGGTAGGGCTCCGGCCCTAATCATCACCAACCCTTGATAATGGAGGAGAAGCCATCCCATAAGTTTCCGGAGCGTACCCAGCACCCGATACGGAGATGGTGGATTGGATCAAGTCGGCCTCGACTGTTACAAAGAAGGGAGATATAGATGAATTTGCGCACCTCATGTGGTCCCGGTGTCTAGGCCTCGCCTGGCTGGGGCTGCAGGTTTTTTGAGACTTTTTCCCGCGCACGCAGTTTCCATTGCTACAATTTTCTTTTTTTGGGTAGAAGGTTCCGTGATAAAGGTGGACGAATTCCACGGGTAAACACTGAGCTGAATGGCTATTCATCAAGGGGAATATATCATTGATCTTTCAAGTAACAAAAGAGGATAGGAGCACTGTACAAGGTGTTGCCTGGGTCAGAGAGGAGCCCAATGTGCTAGATATTCATAGAATCAAGTAGTACAATAAGACACACACACATACTCTAAATTATAACATTATTTATTCATACATATCTAAGGAAGAGTACAAACCTCGAGTACTAAGGTAGCAGTCCCTTTTCCATCGCCAAGCGCGCTAGGAGCCCCATAACTAATTGCTGACTAATGAGTGCAGGTGAAACGCTGAAGAACAGTCAGACTCCTGGTTAAGACGATATTTTTTCCAGAAAGGACTTTGTTCCCATACATTTACCGATTACACGATTGTCGTTCTTCAACTTCTGAATATCGTCTTAACCAGGGTTTTTTTTATTAGATTGGTGTTTATAATGCCGCCAAAAAAGATAATTTCTGTGGAACAACGACGTGCTCTGCGACGATAGGCACACCGCCAGGTCCCAAAACCAACGCAAAAACAGTGCACTGAATGGTTCTTAGCTGAGTACGGCCATCAATTAAGCCAGTCTCCGAGTCCTTGAGCAAGACCTTTGCGAAACTCGACGAAGCTCCAAGTACTACTGCGCTACGACAGCGAGCTGGAAACTAGCCTGTCCTTGAGAGTATTAGAGCGATTAAAGACGACAAATGGGAGAATAAAAGAGGCATCAAAAGTACAAAGTAGCCTAGATAGCTGGATTAGATAATGATATTCTTTTAAACGATATCCCCTATAAGACGATGTTTTTTACGGCCCCGATTACATCATCTTAGCAGGGGTCTGACTGAAAGTGATCAGACAGATTTGGACGCAAGGAAGTTCTATTAGATTCAAAAGGACTAGTTATCACGTGATTTTGGATACCCGCCTTGTCTCCTTCAGTCTATGGCTCGTATTAACATCATTTGTCATCAATTATTGCGGGTTTTAAGCAGGACTAGTCGGTCAGGCTGACTTATTGGCCCAGCCTTGCAGCTAGGTAGTATTCGGTAAATGGGTCTACCTTTCGCACTAGTCAAGACTCCAAGAAAGTATTTATATCAGGCAGTAGTTAGAGCACACATCAAATCGTGACCCCCCTACATTGTCACAGACTCAGACAGGACTGTAAATTTAAGTTAAAAAAATGTAACCATTCCATCGAGCTAATAGCTCTCATAGAAATTTTCAAATTAATATGTGGCATGGCTTGCGTTTAGCGACGCCAGCTCTCGGCCCCCTCTTACGAAGTTGGGGTAAGGATCCTTGCCTGTTACGGCCACAATTTACCAAAGAATAGTCGATTCGATGATTGCTAGGTCAACTGAACTATTACCGCATCCAGCCTCGCTTCACAGCTGACTAGGCCGGCCTGGCGGAATATCGACTTTCATTAGCGTACTCCGGACCTTACACGCGACACAAAATATTAGCAAGATACGGAAAGCATACGGCCAAAGTCATCAATCGCTATATGTTAATTGAGTTACTATCATGCTATCGAGGTCCGATCCCCTTCGTGGGCACAGCGTTGGTAGGCTATACGAGATTGCGCCCACCTGTGCCGGTTAGCACCGGGCGGATGATGGTCCACGCTCAATACAAGGGGACAGGAAAGTAAGTCATTTCACGTGACGCGGAGCTCATGCACTGGTCGAGGCAGATGCAACGCAAGGCAACGAGCGGGGCATCTCCCGCGGTAAGATTCGCATAAACTCACGCCTCTTATCGGGTGGGAGCGGAGGTTGAGCATACCTATATATGCCATGGTCTGCTTCACACAATCTACACAAGTCCAATTATCCGTCCCTAAAAAGCCCACGATAAAATGCCTTCAATATGGGCCTTGACGAGAGTCTTCAGTTCCCTCAGCCAAATTCCTCTTAGCTCTCTCTCCGATATCGCACCATCTTTAGGGCCAGCCAATGACATGACAGCCTCGTTGTGCCCTATCGATTCGCCACTGTCCTGCCATAACACGACGGCCGCGCCAGAATCCTGCTGTGTGAGTCCTCCTGTATTGCTGACTCGGTATCTGACATTGATCGCACCTCATATAGTTCATTTATCCTAATGGTCAGCTACTCTCGACTCAATTTTGGGATACTGATCCTGTCGTGGGGCCCTTAGATTCCTGGACCATGCATGGATTATGGCATGCTTCTCTCGACTATCGTTATGTTTTTGTGCTAAGTGGTGTGCACCAGGCCAGATTACTGCGACGGCTCCTATCCTAGCTACTGCGGCGACATGCCGCACTATGCTAATCTCTCGGCCATTCTGTCGACCGCCGCACCAGAACTTTTCGATTTCATGAGCACCTACTGGCTTCCCAATCGTGGCACGGCCGAGAATTTTTGGCAGCGCGAGTACAATAAGCATGGCACCTGTATCAACACTCTCATGCCCTCTTGCTACGGCGCTGACTACGCGCCTGGCGATGAAGTGATTGACTTCTTCGAGAAAGCCGTTGGCTTGTTCCGGCGCTTAGATACCTATCAGGCTCTGGCAGCTGCCGGAATCACCCCGAGCTTTGTGCAGACTTATACGGCGGCAGAAATTGAGAAGGCTCTCACTGAAGTTACAGGTAGCTCTGTGGTCTTGGGGTGCTGGCACGGCCAGTTGTCCCAAGCCTGGTACTCGTTCAACGTGAAGGGCAGTCTACAGACTGGCCAATTTGTGCCCAGTAGAACGGTAGGAAAGTATTGGCGCGGTAATTGTCCGGTAGCGGGTATTAAATACCTGCCCAAGAAGTTGAAGAAAGATTAGGGTCCCGTGTACATTCGTGTTTTCCAATGCTCGGCCTAGACAGTCATCGCTCGTGTGACTAGTTATTTTTTAACATCTAATGTGTATGCAGCTATCTAGTTTTGTAAATGATGAGTAATTTATGTAAATGTTCGATATCTCTTTCGAATTAAGAGACACTCATGATGTGTATTCCATCCGCGAACACCACTATGAGATGTGTTTGTTTACGCAGTGTCATCTACCTTCGTCTGTGAATATCTGCCAGGGGAAAATATCAAAAATTATGCAATTCAAGCGTGCATTCGTTAAAATCTTCATGAGCATCACCGAAAATATGGCTGAGTTTTGATGGATTAGAGCCAGCTATCTTTGTGTTGTTCTGCAGGTATTAATACCGTCGTTGGCATGCGTTTCGAGGCTACTTGAGACTTAAGACTGAGTCATGATGAAGTCTGATCATGTAATTCGGGATTTACTGAATCGTACTTGTAGTTTCGACAAGGTATCGGTCGGATTCGATCACGTTGGGAGGGTGAGATTGATTTGGTGGAAAGCCATGAACTAATATCTCGTAGGCCAACTTCTCCCTGGTTACGAGATTTGACCAATTTCGGCCCCAGACAGAGGGAGGGATATTTATTGTACTACTTGAGTCTTAGAATATCTAGCACATTGAGCTCCTCTTTGGCCCAGGCCACATCTTGTACAGTGCTCCTATCCTCATTTGTTACTTGGAAGATTATTGATATATTGCCCGTGATAGATAGCTATTCAGCTGAGTATTTACCCGTGGACTTCAGCCACCTTTTCGACAAAACCTTCTACCCAAAAAGAAATAAGATATGTTAGAAATAGAAACTACGTGCGCGGGAAAAAGTCTCAAAAAACCTATAGGCCCAGCCAGGTGTGGCCTAGACAGCGAGACCACATGAGGTGCGCATATTAATCTATATGTCTCTTTCTTCGTAACATTAGAGGCCGACCTGATCGAATCCACCGTCGCCGTATTGGGTGCTTGGTACTCTCCGGAAGCCCATCGGATGACTTTCTCTCCATGATCAAGTGTTGGTGACGAGAAGGGCTTCGACCCTACCATCTGATCTGATCGTGGTTAGCTTCATGGAAATGGAGCTACGTGGTTGTACTGAGAGATGAAGACGATACAGACCGCAGAAGCGATTGTGAATCCTCGTCGAAGAGAGGTCAAAGGTTTTACTCAATATCGGCACTATAGGCTCTACAGTGGGAGCTGGAGGTTCGTAGGGGACACCACTGACAGGTATTGAGAAAAGTCCTCTTTTCAGCCCTAGAAGAACATTGAACTCCCAAGTGTTTAATCTTCGTCCACTGATGAATTTGTTTACGAATCGCGTCGTGGCCGAGGACCGGAGCCGAGGTCGAGAAGAATTCAAATGTGCTGTCGGATAATTAAACGCTTGTAAGCTCATCCGATCAACCCTCGCCTACCAACACATGTGACGAGACGGCAAAAGGTATCACGCCAAGGGCTGGTATGGCAGGCCTTGATCAGCTAGAGTTCTACACATGCCAGCAATAGCGAGATAGATTAAACGCCAAGCACCCATTTTTCATCCGAATTAAACGACTGAAAAGGTTCTCGGAATTTTGGGCTTTTTAACATCATGCTGTACAGACGGAGCTGCTCAGCGAGGCAAGATTTCAGAGATTTTGTGATATTGTAGCTCTCTGCTTCTCACAAAATTCAGTGAGGCCTACGATATCAACCTGGTAGAGAGTCCTATCAGTTACGAATTTTATCATAGACTAACCATCGAGATTTGGTTGCCTCTCCGATATACGTTTCGAAGTTGGCTGCTATCATCAAGCTAAACTCCACTCAAATCGTTCCATATAAGCGCAGGGGAACTCGGAGGATTGATGAAGCACCTAGACCAAGATGGAGTTAAATTCCAGGCGAGAGAAGAAGTCTTTGAAGTATCAGTCACCGAGAGGGGGACGAAACTCAACACCTGTCAGTAGTGTCCCCTACGAACCTCCAGCTCTCACTATAGAGTCTGCAGAGCCGAGATTGAGTAACACCTTTTCAACTTTGAGCTGAGTTATTTCCCCCTCTATCAAAGATACGCTCCCGAAAATACATGAAACGACTAAGACGATGATAATGATGCTAGGAATGAGGAAAGATAATGCGGTACCAAACGCTACAACGGTAGTTAGAGAAGCCCTCGTTATATTACAACATGTGCTACCAACCGGCGGGCGAACAAAAAGCCCACGAATGCAAAGTAAAAGACCCTTCCGCCCTCAAGAAAAGTAGACTTCGACTCGTCTATAATATTGTCCCTTCGAATCTTTACTTCCGAATTTACTAACCAGGAGGACATCTAAAATACATGAGTTACTCGACGACCCCACGTCTGTAACGACTATTGGATACTTTGCTAGGCTCCTTCACGGCAGTCACTCTCAACCAAGACTTTTCTGACATCCTTTCACGACCTTCGGTTTGTCCTGCGGTATGAACCGGGGGAAAAGGAAGGAGGGGGCTAGAAAGGTTGAGAGACTCTCTTAGGTCTACACAGGTCTGCTGCGCCCGGCTGGCCGGCCCCTTCGTCATAGGAGAGCCCCACACCCAGTGGTTTTTGAGACTTTTCCCTGCAGCTACACACCCGCAAATGGCCATCGCTTCTTTCGCTGGGGAGAGGGGATAATGACGGGATAACGTTTTCTCTTAGTGTGTACTTGATTGAAGACCTGTAGCAGTATCCATGTGAATATTGCATTTAGTAGAGCTGCTATGGGGAAAATTTACGGAAATTGGCCACGTGGTGTCAGAGCTGCGTTGGGGTTAACTTCCGTTCATTAATCATCAGAAATATAGATACAATTCTTGATCAATAACCATCTTACCTGATCTTTGTGCTAGTACATTACCCAGAACTGATGATAAACCGACAGTATTACTGCTGGAAAGAAGTCGTGAAGGAGGCATAGATACTCCTGGCCTGTAGTCAGAGAGGACTTACATGTCCTTACTTAGTCATAGACATCGTAGGACAATAAACACACACACACATTTTCATTGGAATTCGTATTTTCCCATTTTCCCCTCTCCTTCCCTCTTCCGCTCATCGTATTCTCTCAAAAAAATTGTAATCGAGTCACTGGCGTTTTAATCATGCCACCTGTTCGAAAAAAGCTTACCAATGCAACGTTGGACAACTCGATAGTCCGCCCGAGGTCTCTCGCAAAAACACCTGGCCTCGCGCAAAACCTTCAAGCACGTTTGCGAGTGAGGCCTTCGTCGAAGGGAAGTCTCCAAACCTTCCCGACAAAGAGATGAACGATTCTGAGCACGTCAGGTCAGTAAAAATTAGTCACGAGGCCCACATTCCCATCGAGTTTGCCCTAGAGGCAAGCAGCTCCAGCAAAGCAAAGTGTCTGATTAAAGTTCTGTATTATATCACGTGACTTATTTTCGTAACACTTCCTTATATAGAATAGCGCTGGGAATAAGAAATTGGCTCCCCAATGTAATTATTGGTTGTTACTTAGGAGGGAGGGAGTTAGACAGGAATTAATTGATACCAATATTATTACAACAAGCTTGTCACGAAACTCGTCCACTTGAAGTATTCCGACACAAAGTAAGTCGTTCGAGAGAAGACGACAGAACACACAGAAGCGTTTGCAAGAAAATTGGCTGTACCATCCTCTTAAAGTACAGCTTCAACTTTAGCACAAGAATTTCCCCCGAGCTTCAATCAATGACGGAGGCCGAAAAACGTCGCACGACGCAGATCAAGGCCCGTCTAGCAATTTAATCCACTGCAAGAAGCAGTGTTGAAGTAGCACTTTCGCCTCTTTCGATTGGCGAAGAAAAAGAGTTTGTAGACGGCATCAAAGTCTACCTTCGAGCGGCCATTGGCCAGTTCGTACAATCAGGCCCAGGAAGCACTCCACCAGTTCTCCCCGCGCGCCCCAGCAACCATCCTCCACCGAGAGTTCAAGAAATAAGGGTACCGAACCCTGCGACAACCCAGACTCTGGCCCAAATAACAGCTTGGGCGACAGTAGCCCGAACAAGTCTTGGCAACAGCACTAGGCCATCAACGACAAAGGCAGCCCCGCCCGCCCCAAGAGTAAAGGGAGCCAACTCGAGGACAGCAGCTGATATACGACTGTTTCTACCCCTCGAATACAGCCACCCTCACTGACTCCTGTCACCAGCGGACGTAAGATCAGCTGTCTCAGAGTTGCTCGGTATCGCTGCCAACAAGATCACGCTGGTTCGGCGGGTAAAAACCGGCTTTGCAATGACCGCAAAGGTTGACCTCGCTCGAAAAGAGCTCCTAGATTCCTCCACATCACGGTGCGAATCTGGAATCAAACTGGAACCAGCATCAAATCTGGTTGCCCTTCAAATTGCCACCGTTCCGGTGAGAATTAACACACTCACAGGTTGCATTTTCATTGCGGAAAAGATGGTCGCCGACGAAGTCACGCGAGTGACCAAATGAGTTCCTTTTCTTGTTCGTCCTCTTGGCATCTGCGAACCTGGAGCGCCATACCAGAACTGGCAAGCGCTCTTCTCTCCAGAATCCACGCCCTGACCTGGCTTTCGCCTCTTCGCTGACTCCGGAGCTGCAAAGCTCTTCCAACCTCGTCGAAAAATAGTTTAGTGCAATCAATGTCTTGGCTTCCATGCCTCTCGCGCTTGCTCCCGCGCTCTGGCCTGCTGGAACTGCGGATCAAAAATGCATTCCGAAACGGAGTGCCAAACCCCCACACGGTGCCGAAACTGTGGGGGACCTCATCGATCGGACTCACGGTTCTGCAAAGCCAGACCCAGCAAGTTCGGCCCGGTGAAAAAAGAGCAGCTCGCGATAATGCTTAAGGTCGAGCAAAAAAAGCACGCATATTATGCTCGTGATAAAGCTGCAGCCGAAATAGACATTACGGCGATTTACGACTCGAAGAACGACGTCTAAGTGTCAGACGGATCGGGTTTTGGGATTCTAGAATCCGAAGAGGAG